GGGAGTTTGGGCTGGTCGCCTTGATGGGTGGAGGCCCTCGCCCGCTTTGAGGGACTCCCTTCCTTCTTGGTTCCTAATCATATGCTCCTGAGCCCTCAAGTGCTCTAACCTAAACCCTGCTGGCAACTCAGCCATGAACGAGCAGGTAGCTTTGGAGGGGGGAATGGGGGAGGGTCAGCGTAGAAATGGTATAGCCGCTAGGTCTGACCTAGCAATTGCGACGCCCAGCCAGACACGACAGTGCACATGAGCGGGAAGACATGGAAGGTAAAGCTACTGGTTCCCAAGCTGGGAGTGAGGGAAGCAGGAACCAATATATACACATATAATATATATATATATATACATACACATATATCTACCCTTTCAGGGGTTCTACCCTTCAAAAGCGGAGTCCTTTGGATACCGCAATCGCCCAAAATATATCCTCCGGAACTCCGCTGGCCTGAGCCCTTTGTGGGCCTGTTGTGAGGTCTTCTGAGGACCAGTAGCCCTAAACCCTAAACCCTAGAGCCTAGACCCTAGACCCTAGAGCCTACAGAAAAAGCGGGTTAAATCTTAAGGTGGGGACAGCTGGAGTGTGTCAGGTCAGGTTTGGGACTTTGGTGGCCAGACAAGGAAGCTGGGGTACAAGGGGTACTTGGAGGTGTATATATATATATATATCAGGATATATATGATATATATATATATATATACATAAGGATATATATATATATAAGGATATATATATATATATAATATTCAGGGAAATGTCGGGATTACTATCTTTCTTTTTTGTGAGGTTCTTAAGCAAAGAGTAGTAAACCCCCAAACCCTGACCCACAAACGCCAAACGCTCCTTGCTTTCTCGGTGCACGTTGATTTCAAGCCCGAGATGCAGGTGGACCCCCTGAGGGCGTAGGGGTTAGGATTTCGCGTTTCAGGGGTTTGGGGGTCTAGGGGTTCAGGGGTCTTGGGGTCCAGGGGTTTAGGGGTCCAGGGTTTTGGGGTGTAGGGGTTTGGGGTCTAGGGGTCTAGGGGTCTAGGAGTCTAGGTGTTCTAGGGGGTCTAGGGGGTTTAGTTTAGGGGTTTAGGGGTTGCTTATACGGGGTCTCTTGGGATCCAACGACGCAAGCTCGAAGCTGGCGCGCGTCCGGAGGCTCCATGGGCCTTTTCTATATCATCTCCGGCTTTGTGATGGCTGTGGGCTATTGCCAGGTGGGGTACCAAGCCCTAAACTGAACACACACACACACACACACACACACACACACACACACACACACACACACACACACACACACACACACACACACACACACACACCCACGCCCGCCCGCCCGCCCGCCCGCCCACGCACGCACGCACGCACGCACGCACGCGCACGCACGCGCACGCACGCGCACGCACGCGCACACACGCGCACACACACAGACACACACACACACACACACACACACACACACACACACACACACACACACACACACACACACACACACACACACACACACACACACACACACACACGTGCACACACACCCACACCCACACCCACACCCACACCCACGCACCCACGCACCCACACACCCACACACCCACGTACACCCACACCCACGCACACCCACGCCCACCCATGCCCACCCACGCCCACCCACGCCCACCCACGCCCACACACGCCCCACCCACGCACACCCACGCACACCCACACCCACGCACACCCACACCCACGCACACAACCCACGCACACCCACACACACTCACACACTCAACCCACCCACCCACCCAACCAACCACAACCCAACATCCCAACCCACAACCCACAACCACACCCACACACACACCCAACACCCACACCCACACCCAAACCAACACCCACACACACACCCACACCCACACCCACACCCACACCCACAACACACAACAACAACCACACACACACACACACAAACCACACCCACACACAACACACAACACCACACAACACACACACACACACACACCAACCACACACCCACCCCCACACCACACACACACACCACACACACTACACACACACTACTCACCACACACACACCACACACACACACCACCCACCACCACACACCACCAACACCCACCCAACCCACCCACCCACCCCGCCCCCACCACCCCCACCCACCCACCCACCCACCCACCCACCCACCCGCGCACGCACGCACCCTAAACCCTAAACCCTACACCCTAGACCCCTGGAAGGTCATGCTTCAGCCTTGCTGCGGCCGCTGCGGCGGGGAGCCGAACCTGCCGAAGCTCAGCGCCTGCAGCTTCTGGCTGCGGCGCCCTGATACTTTTAATAGAGGTTTTTGGGGTTTCTACAGGGTATTCATGGGTCTTTACAGGGTTTTTATAGGGTCTCTGCAGGGTATTTCATGGGGTTTCTATAGGGTTTTTGATAGGGTTTTTATAGGGTGTTTATAGGGTTTTGATAGGGTTGTTATAGGGTTTTTATTGGGTTTGTGCAGCTTTTTTCTGCGGCGCTCTGGCCTTATTCAGAGTTTTTGTTGTGGGGAGAGGGTTTGTTTTGATACTTAATACTTATTTTCTGGGCGATTTCTATAGGGTTGTTAAAGGTTATCGAGGGTTTTATGGTTTCTTAGTATTTAGGAGGTTTTATAAGTTTTTCTATAGGGCGTTCAGGGTTTTTGTTGAGGCTTTTGGGTCCCTACCCCTGGGTCTTGCGAAGTCTCGGGAACAGCAAGGTGTTTAGGGTCTGGGGTTTTTCGGGTTGAGGGTTGAGGGTTGAGGGTTAGTGCGGAAACAGAGCTCTTCATATCCATGAAAGCCCTAAGCTGGATACATGGATTCTATAGGGGCTTTTGTAGAGTTTACGGCTTTTCGGGCTCATAGGGGATCACGAACCCGGGATTGGATAAACAGCCAGGCGCTTGGTGCGACTGGCACCGACCTACTTCCTCACGAACTGCCTGGGTGTGGCCTTAAAGGCCGCGCCGTAAACAGCTTGGGCTTTGGGCTTTTTGAGGGTTTGGGAAGGGAGCAGGAGGTTAGCGGCTTCTACAGTGCTGTAGGACTTGGGTGCTAACTACTTGGAGGTTCATGGTAGTTAGTCACCCAATTATAACTGTACTTATAGCCCAATTATAACCCAATTAGGGAACTTAAGAGGCTTATAAGTGGGTTATAGGGTTTCGGGTTTAGGGTTTAGGGAGGTGTAGACCCAGACCAGGGTATTCCTTGCTTTAGGAAAGGGAACGGAAGTGGAGAAGAAGAGAGGAATTGGATAGTTTTTTGATTGTGAAGATCAATTTTCTTTATATATTTCCCAATGCCATATTGAATGACGATCAAATCGAGAACAAGTCCTTCTTTAAGTTAGTTTATGAAGATCATGACAGTCCTGAGTCTGTTTTGCAAAGGCGGCCTTTGCACCTGAAGCGCTCAACGAGATCACGACAGTTCAGTTCGTCCTGCCTCTTGTCTCTCTCTGAGGGTAGTTTCATGGGCCCTGAATATGGTCCTTACCTCCTATAAAGGGTTCTGATGTACGCGCCCTTAATTTGTACAGGGTATATAAGGGGGTCCCTCACGAAGGGTTCATGCAGCGACTCTAAGACTCTCTAAACCCTAAACCCTAAACCCTCAACCCTCAACCCTCAACCCTAAACCCTAAACCCTAAACCCTAAACCCTAAACCCTAAACCCTAAACCTTAAACCCTAAACCCTAAACCCTAAACCCTAAACCCTAAACCCTAAACCCTCCCTCTTAGGGCCAGAGACTGCTTAGGTCCGGTCTGGGCCTGACCTCCTGGTACATCAACCCTAAACCCTAAACCCTAAACCCTAAACCCTAAACCCTAAACCCTAAACCCTAAACCCTAAACCCTAAACCCTAAACCCTAAACCCTAAACCCTAAACCCTAAACCCTACTCTTAGGTCCGGTCTGGGCCTGACCTCCTGGTACATCGTGGCGCCCGTGGGCAATGGGCTGACGTGGACCATCTCGACGAGTCCTGTCTGCACTCGGATGCTTCTCGGGTTTAGGGTTTAGGGTTTAGGGTTTAGGGTTTAGGGTTTAGGCGTTAGGCTTTAGGCTTTAGGCTTTATGCTTTAATGTTTTTTTTGGGTTTAGGGTACCTTGAAAGTCAGCAGACTACAATTATTGGCTTACAGCTTTCTATCTTGGGGATATAGTAGCCGCTTAATTCGGGAACTAGGCCTTTAAGGTGGTTTCTAAACCCGAAACAGCAAAACTCAAACACCGCAGGCACCTTGAGGCCCTAAACCCTCAACCCGAAACCCTAAAGCCTAAACCCTAAACCCTCCGAAGCCTGTAGTAGGGAAATCGGGCAAGGGGCAATAGCCCTGTCAGCCCCACACCCTAATTAAACTTGGGATGTTCCCCCTTATAATAACCGTCCTAAATAGGGAATAAAATAGGGGTACTATAACCCCTATTCAGGGGGAACATCCCAATCCTCAACCCTAAACCGTAAACCCTATTCAGGAGAAACATCCCACAACCCTAAAGCCCAAACCGTAAGTCGAGAAGTGTACCAAGTCGAAACCCTAAACCCTAAACCCTAACCCGTTCAGCTAGGCGGTCGGCAACAAAAAAACTTACACCTAAACCCCCTAAACCCTCTAAACCCTCTAAACCCTCGAAACCCTCTAAACCCCCTAGACCCCCTAAACCCCCTAAACCCCCTACCCCCTAAACCCCCCTAAACCCCTAAACCCCCTAAACCCTCTAAACCCCCTAAACCCCCTAAACCCTGAACCCTGCACCCTAAACCCTAAACCCTAAACCCTAAACCCAAACCCTAAACCCTAAACCCTAAACCCTAAACCCTAAACCCAAGCCTCAACCCTTCAGGATGCTCTTCTTCTACCTCTGCTTCCCTGTCCTTGGCCCAGCCATGCAGCGGGTCAGCGTCCCCTTTCTGCGGGTGCTGGCCTGGGCCATGTACCTACTGCAGGCTTCTTTGGGTTTAGGGTTTAGGGTTTAGGGGTTTAGGGTTTAGGGTTTAGGGTTTTAGGGTTTAGGGTTTAGGGTTTAGGGTTCAGGGTTCAGGGTTCAGGGTTCAAGGTTCAGGGTTCAGGGTTCAGGGTTCAGCATCTCAAGTTTCAAGCTCGCTACTCTGGGATCGAAAATCTACCCACCCACCCTTTGGATCCCACAACATAGAAAAATATCATAGTCTCATTTATCAAAAGAAAGGGGTTGTCGATCCCACAACATAGGAAAATATCATAGTTTTATTCATCAAAAGAACGGAGTTGTCGACCTCAATTGTCTCAGGACAAATCATGTCTAAAACATAACCAGAACCGACAAACATTCGCCTGAACCCTGCGGCGGGGCATCCCCAAACCAGGCAGCCCTGATGGGCGCGGGGGGGGGGGGGGGGGGGGGGGTAGGGCTTTGCGGTTCCGGTGATCCGGACATGGCCAGCTGATCCCTAGAACGCCCTCTGCATCTTCATCCACCGGAGGTAGATCGTTATTACGATTATTGTTGTTGTTTTGTTTTTTTTTTATTATGCTTGTTGTTCATCTCGGCTCCAATTTTGCCCGTCCCGCAAAATTGTTCTTCATTCCTGCTAGGATGCGTATTTCAACTTAACCAACATTCCCGAAGTCTGGGAGGGGAGGGAGCCTTTGGGCGCGGCATGTCTTCTGCCCCTAAACCCTAAACCCTGAGCCCTAAACCCTCAACCCTAAACCCTAAGCCCTAAGCCCTAAACCCTAAACCTTAAAGCCCTAAACCCTAAACCCTAACTCTGCCCAACCTAGAGGCGGTCTTCATGATTGTGGGGTACGTCCTCAATCTCGGCGGCTACTGGATTCGCATGTTTCCGCCTGCACGTCTGCCCATCTTCATCATGGGCATCTGTGCCGGACTCTCCCGGGTGCAGCTTGGGCATCAAGTTTTAGGGTTATCGGGTTTCATTGGGGTTTAGGGTTTGGGGTATAGGGTTTAGGGTTTGGGTTATACGGTTTAGGGGAAAGGGTTTGGGGTTTAGGGTTTAATTCGGGTTTAGGGTTCGGGATTTAGGGCTTTAGGTGTGCAATTGGGCAGTGCTTTGGCAGCATGCTCCAAGCCCTGAACCCATCTTCGCTGACGTCCTTGACTTCTATCCCGTTGCAACACGATGCCGGCTTTATGAACAACAGGGCGACATGGGATCCACGATGCCCCCCCCCTAACCCCCCCCCCCCCCCCAAAAAAAAAAAAGGTTTAGGGTTTAGGGTTTAGGGTTTAGGGTCCCCCGCAAGTAGTCAGCCTTGAGTAGGGAGGATAGGGATAGTAGACAGGGCGCTCACCTTAGACGAAGAGGAGCAACCTTTAGCGCGTGGGCCACGGCATGAAGCCTGTATAAAAACTCCCTTCCTTAGGGTTTAGGGTTTAGGGCTTAGGGTTTAGGGTTTAGGATTTAGGGTCTCCACGAGAAGCTGTCTGGCACAGTACAGATCTCTTTGCACTCTAGAATACCTTGCCGATAGCTTTGCTTCCACCCGACGCCCTGAACTCTAAGCTTTAGCGCTAAGCTAACCCTAAACCCTAGACCCGGGACCTTAAGCTTAAACCCTAAACCCTAAGCCCTAAACTCTAAACCCTAAACCCTAAACCCTAACCTCATCACAGGCATGGGGAGCAACAGAGGGCAGACGAGGCTGATGCATGCCAGACGCCGGTGAGTCGGAGGGATCCTTGGTGGCAACCCGGGTTCGGTTTAGGGTTTAGGGTTTAGGGTTTAGGGTTTAGGGTTTAGGGTTTAGGGCTTAGGGCTTAGGGCTTAGGGTTTAGGGTGTAGGGTGTAGGGTGTAGGGTGTAGGGTGTAGGGTTGCGGGGGGGGGGGGGGGGGGGGGGTTCTACAATTATGTTTTGCTCGGCTCGTTACACCTGCTTAACCTAAGTTCCGTAACCCCGTAGCATGGTTTCTGGCCGGAAGAGTCGATGACAGATGTATGTGCGTCTTTTTGCATGTATGTTTGTTCCGTTTGTAACCACTGCCGATACTGGCAGCTTAATGCCTGAAGGTGCAGCTAGGGCTTAGCTTAAACCACGACAAGCATAGGGTCTACACAAAAAGTGCCCAGACCCGTGAGGATGTGCCAGTGGAAATTGGATCGAAAGGCCTCCGAGTTGCTTTAGGAAGCAAGTGGGTTTAAGGGCCACATCTAAGCTAAGGCTACTACTTCATTTCGATTGTACCCTCGCGCCTCCTAAGGTAGACAGGGCCAGCTGAGGTTTGGTTTAGGGTTGAGGCTTGAGGGTTGAGGGTTTAGGGTTTAGGGTCCAAACATATCCTCCAGGGAATGTGTCCTCGATCGGTCAGATGAGCGTGCGAGAGAGTTTCTTCAAGCATGCCAGGGATAGTTCTAGTTCTTGAAGATTTTGGGAAGATGCAAAATGCAGACTCCGATTTGAAGAGGGCAGATTTGAAGGCGGGTTTTGTCCAGGTAGTCGGCAGGTTGTTGGAAGATGACAAGAGGGGTGGAAGATTGCTTGGTGGCCTTGTCCACGATTCTCTGGTGATTTCCGCGAGTTTGCGATGCTGCTTTTCCTTGAGAATTGCTGAGGATTCACGGAATATTCGGGAGTTTGTGGGAAGTTAGATGCAGGGAGCCAGAATGGTAGAGGTTTCCTTCGAAAGCCATCGCGCGGAGTCTTTGTGAGCCTTCTTGTTGCTTGATCTATGCCCATGCTTGATCTCAGAAACCCTAAAACCCTAAACCCTACACCCTACACCCTAAACCCTACACCCTACACCCTAAACCCTAAACCCTAAACCCTAAACCCTAAACCCTAAACCCTAAACCCTAAACCCTAAACCCTAAACCCTAACCCCCCCCCTTCCCCAAGTCAGCTAGGCGAGTGACCAGAACCCAAACTCTCCAAACCGGAAGGCTGGGGCATGGAGGCTTGCTGCCCGGCATGGGCGCCTCAGAGTCATTCGGTATCTTTTGGGATGTTCGCCCCTATTCCTAAAGATCCTTGATAGGGTTTAGGGTTAAGGTTTTCGGGTTTTTTGTAATCTATGTTTTTTCATTTTTTTGGGGAGGGGGGGGCGGGGGATTTGTGCACCACCCACTGTGTGATCATCCCGATAAATGACTGTTAGTATAAACCGGGGGGGGGGTATCTTTCCTACTGGGCAGCCCTTTTCGCTTAGCATGTAGGGGTAGTAAGCTGGGTTATGGGGCCGGAATATTAGGGTTCTAAGGGATACTAAGTAGACTTACTAAGTCCAAGGAGTTTCCAAGTAGAGTCCCTTTAAGAATTGTGTGTGCTTAAGTGCTTAAGGTTTTTTTGGGATTATTTAGGGTTTAGGGTTCAGGGTTTAGGGTTTCGGGTTTAGGGATATCTAAGGTAGCAGGGTTTAGGGTCCCAGGATTATGGGCCGATGCGGCTTTATTAGTTGTTGTATATTCTTAATCTGAGACGTAGATATTGGATTTGGCGAACCTGTAGAGTATCTAGGACCCAGAGTAGGCCCTAAGTCCTCAAACCTAACCCCTAACAACGGTCTTACAAATGCCAAAGGCCCTGGCAAACTGCTGGCCTCAAGCACGCCACAGCTCGAGCTAGAGGTCCTGAAAAATAGCCAGGAACCAGAGAGTAGCCCCTTCCCCCCCTTCTTTGCATTTGTTGTTCTAGGGTTTCGGTTCCCTTATAAGGTTTCGGTTCCCTTAGCCATTCCCCCCTTCTCTGCATTTGTTTTCAGGGACTCGGTTCCCTTATCATTAAGCCCGTTGAACCAGAAAGGGCACCCTTGTTATTCCTTAGGCTACTGTTGGGTCTAGACTGTGTCTCAGACACTCAACCCCAGAGCGCTTGAACTCTCTAGAAGTTTAGGGTTTAGGGTTTACGGTTTACGGTTTAGGGGGTTTAGGGTGAAAGGTTTTTCCACATGTTCTGCGTCCCCTGCCACCACACGGGACGTTGTGGCGGGTGCAGGCTGTACTTTAAGCATAGGACAGATCCGGTCTTGGTCTCGAATTTGCGGTGGATTCGCCTGGCGAACGGAAGTTGGGGAGTTTCCACCATAAAAAGGGGAGGGGGGGGCGGGTCACTGAAGATTCCTCGTGCCATTTAGTTGGGAAATTTGGCAGGAGCGTCCGCAAGCTTCGAAGGAGGCTCCTGAAACCAAACCCGAAGCCCCAAATCCCGCACCCCAAACCCAAAACCCCTAAACCCTAAATTTCACGGATCCCGCCCCCCCCTCCCCCCCCCCCCCCCCCCAAAGACCGGAAAGGTTCTAACATACGCCTTGGGAGGATCCCAAAAGCAGAACCCCCAAAACAGTGCCCCAAGCTACTCTTGAGTCATTCTTAGGAAACCTTGAACCCTAAACCCTAAACCCTGGTTGCGAGGCTGCTAGGCAGGTGGCAAGAACACCTAAACCCTGAAAGCGGCGGCCTGCAGGGTGGGGGGGGGCCTCTGAGGCTTTAATCTTCATCTGGACGGGGCTCAGTCTCTATGGCACCACCGTCACCTTCATCTGCTCCCACAACCTCAATTTCCGCTTCAACTTGGAGGCGATGTTTAGGGTTGAGGGTTGAGGCTTAAGGCGGGATTTAGTAAATGACGGGCCTCATTGAGCAGTCTGCGAGGCAGCCTGCTGTTTTACGGTTAACTTGAAGGGCTCAGGTTTTGCGACTTGTCGGCATCTTCTGAAGCTTGACTTAACGGACTTCCTCGACCTTCGGGCAATTTGCACAATAGCCCCCGTGGCTCGGAAATCAGCTGTGTCCGACCTAAGGCCTAAACCCTAAACCCTAAGCCCTAAGCCCTAAGCCCTAAACCCTAAACCCTAAACCCTAAACCCTAAACCCTAAACCCTAAACCCTAAACCCTAAACCCTCCCGACAGTGATTTCGGAGTACTTTACGCCGGGCAGATGGAACTCAGGTTCCAGGAACCGAGCACGCACACCTCCCGGGATGCCAGTCGAAGCGTTGTCTGTTCGGCTTCTTGGGGTTCAGGGTTTAGGGTTTAGGCTTAGGGTTTAGGGTTAAGGGTTATAGGGTTTAGGGTTATAGGGTTTAGGGCCAACGGCATTGAGCTGCACGGCAGTCGTGGCAAGGCGTCGGTTTTGCATTTAGATTATCCCAAGAGTGGATCCATTGAAGGGATCCTAAGAACTACCCTATAGTACCCAGTACAGGCACTCTTTGGGGGGGAATTCTACTTTTTTGGATCCTCCCAGGGGTTACCCTAAACTCTAAACCCTAAACCCAACCCTTAGCCCTAAACCCTAAAACCCAAAACCCAAAGTTTCTGGGGAGCCGCGCAGGTGGTCTTGCCCATGATCTTCTACGAGTTCATCTTGGCCGTCACAAGTCCAACCGCGGACTTCTCCTGTGGCCTTTCTGTTGGTTAGCCAGGGAAAGGGGGAAAGTGTATATTATAGGGCCCTAATTCCCTAAACCCTACTTACACCCTAAACCCTAAACCCTCATTCCCTGCTAGCCAACAGTAAGGTGGCGCCTGCATTGTCCGATTCTTCCGCTCCAGGCCAGCGTGCCTAACAACTCGGGCCCTGCCAGATCCTGAAAGTTCTTTGGGTTTAGGGTTTAGGGTTTCGGGTTTCGGGTTTCGGGTTTCGGGTTTCGGTTTCGGGTTTCGGAAGGGACTAAAGGAGGGGCCCTTTTTCATGTACCTTTGGGGTTATTCAGGGGCTACTTAGGTATGCAGGGACTATCTTACTAGGTAGATTTAGGGTTTATATCGGGGAATAAGATTAAGGGTCCCTTCCAGGGGTCTCTGCTTCAGCCCCTTAACTTACTGGGTTACCCTAAACCCTAAACATTGGGGGGGGGGGGTCCCTGCTTATACCCCTCAAGTTTAGGGTTTCGCCGGGGTTGTGGTCTCGGCATTGTGGAACGGAATCCTCTTTTCATCAACAACCCTGAATCCCTATAAGTCCTGAGATTCCTACACCCTAAACTCTAAACCCTAAACCCTAAACCCTAAACCCCTCGCCCCCAGCCTCGGCCGCGGACAGTATGGCCCGGAAGTGGCGCTTCCTGCGCACGTGCCGCGGGGCCCTCCCCGGTGATGCCGCCGCAGTCCTCGCTCTACCCTCCACTCTTTTCGTACGCCATGTGTTGGAGCACCATGTGGGACTGACTGATTGGACGCATGTCATGAGCATAGAGAGACTACATGTGCAACTGCCATGGCTTTTGGATGAGTGCACGCTGCAGCCTAAGAAGACCCCCAAGGATTTCCAGTTGGTCTGTGAACAAGCGGCCCAGTCCTTCCCTCCGGGCCGACGGTTCCTGCTTCGCGATGCTTCAGGCTCCACTGCGCAGTTCTTCTAAGGAGGGGGGGGGGGGGGCGGGACAGCCCGGAAATAGGCGCGCCCGCGGTAGAGCAGCTAGGGCAGCCATGTCATGTCCGCCGCCTACGCTGCTGGACACTGCGGATGAGGACACACCCGGCGAGGCCGAGCTCCCTGTGCAAGTCGACAGTGACAGCGATGCCGCGGACGCTGATGGGCCTGCGGCGGAGTTGGCAGCCGGTGCCCTCCTGCAGGACCATGCGGCCCCGCATTTGGAGAAAGTGGTGGAGGCGCTCCGGTACCTCGATGTCGACGCCCCGGTCAGGGGTGAGCAAGGCGGATCCCTCAGCTTCGGCGCCTATGTGCACGTTCGCGCAGGGGTACGTGCGCTCTCGCGTGTGTACCCCACGCTGACACGGCTACTGACGCGAGTTCTGCGTCACCGCTTCCCGGGGGACACCTTCACCACTCTGGTGGTCAATTTCGACGTTTGTGCTGCCCCACATCGAGACCAACAGTAGCCTGCTCCTCCCGCTTACGCAGTTTGTTGGGGGTGGAATTTGGGTGGAATCCCCCACCGGATTGGAGACACGCATCTTCCGTGGACGACGGGTCCTGGGGGCAGTTGCGCCCTTGCGCGGGCCCACCAGACTCAGCGCGCGCAGCCTTCTGCATGCCACGGAGCCCTGGCAGGGGTCCCGGGTCCTCCTCGTGGGCTTCCACTCGGCGGGGTTCAGAACGCTTCAGCTGCAAGATCGAGCCTACCTCCAGCAGTTGGGCTTTCTGTTCCCGGATGAAGAACAGGAGCGACGGGCGATGCTGTCTCGGTGGACACCGCATGGGACGCAGGTTCAACAGGCTCTACCTTGTTCCGCCCCGAAATGGCCAGTAGGGAAGCTCCGACATGGTTGTGGGCCCGACGTCTACTACATCGACTAGGCTGACACGCATGCCCGGCACGATCTGAGCCCCCGCCGTCGCAAGGACATTGAGTGAATTAGTTTGAATGTGAAGTGAATTGGTTAGCATGTGCAGGGAATTCATCTGCGTGAGCATGACTAGTTTCTGTTTCTGTCTTGCATGTGCATGTGCATAGTTTGGTGGCTCCCCTCCCGCAAACAGGAAAGACAAGGGTCTCTCTCGCTGGGAGTCCACATAGTTCGGGCTCCCGAGCGACTCTGTACAACGTTGGCACGAGTGGTGTGTAAGACGCCGCGCTGGCCAGACCGGGCCGCCAGACCGGGCCGCCGGGGATAGCAAGAGTGCAAAGCGCCCCCCCCCCCCCCCCCCCCATTCCCCCTCCCATGCTTGCTTTGTTTCTCTTGTGCATCCATCGTCGTTGGCTGTCTGCACTTTGACACCCCATGCATGGACAGACACATGCTCAGCCCCGCCCGCAGCCCTGAAGCCCTCGTGCTCTCAGCATTTCTGTAACCCCTTTGGTGCCTTGCATTTTCGAAATGGCAATGGAGGCGCTGAGCCAGGAGCCCCGGATGGCGGAGCAGACGACGCCGACCCAGACCGGCGGGGCACAGGACGATGTGCTGGCCGCGGCGAGCCAGCTCCACGACGCAGTGGCAGTGGCTGGTGGGCGGCCTCTTGATGACGGGGCTGCTGGCGGCTCTGGTGGGGGTGTCTCGACGTCGTGGTCGAGTGGATCCTGGCGCCAGCGAGCCTGACACTGGCGCGGCTGCCCCCGACGCCACCTTGGACGACCCTGTATCGGACCAACTCCGAGCACTCATGGAACGCACGGACAAGATGTTTGGCAAAGTCAGCACCGTCATGGACCTCCTCCTGACCGCCGACAGCAACCGGGCACAAGACCAACGCGAAGCGCGCACCGCCGCTGGCAACCTGCTCGACAAAATCAAGGAGATGTGGAACCTCGTGGAGCGGGTAGAAGGCCGTGTGCAGGACATCAAAGACCCAGCAGCGGCAATCCAGAAGATGGACGCCCAGCTCGCGGCGCTGCATAAAGGGGTCAAGGCCGACCTCCTCGCGGTCAAAACGGACCTCGGTACGACTACTGCTGGTCTGGAGGTGCTCAAGTCCCAGACCGCCGTCCTGTGCGCTTCGATGGAAAGCCTCCAGCAAAAGTTCGGCGTGGTGACGGCAGTGGTGGATGGCCTGACTACGGATCTCGCAAAGCTGTGGGAAGGCTGCGACACGGCCGCTGCCCGGGAGAGTCACGAGAACATCGCGCACATCAAGAAGGTGCTGGCCCAGGTCTGTGACATGACGTGGGCGCTCCAGGAAAGCCAGACCAAGCAGTCCGAGCAGATACAGGCCCTCCTGGACAAGTGTGAGGATGGTCCGGCGCAGGCAGCAGGACCGGCCCCGCGCCCTTCGGGACCGGTGCTTTACCGCTCTCCCCCGCAGACACAACCGGGGGCGGGGGCGGGAGGACCAGGTCCCGCGCAGCCCCCCATCATCAACTTGTCAGACACGGTGGCCATGCCGACGCCGTCCTACCGGGGAGGGGCTGCCCTGGTGGTCCTCCCCGGGGGAGGCCAGATGACGCTCGACGCCGCAGCCCTCACGCGCTTGGTGGTGCCGTCCTAGACCTCCGGAACCGGCCGTGGATGTTGAGAACAGCTGAATTCACACGACCAGGAATTCGATGCATGGAATTCCGGCACGCCCCGCCCCGACCCCCCCCCCCCCGCTCCTAGCCCGTACATGTTACCTCTGCCCTCAAGCCTCGTCCTCCCAAGTAGCCACCCCCCCCCCCAAGAATTGACTGCATGGAATGCACGCTATGCCAGAACTGTCCCGGGCGCACTGGACCTGCATGATTGGCATGGGCACGTAGTCGTCAAAGCTGCTTTAGCTTCCACTCCTCGGAATAGATACTGTGCCGGTTTGCCCCAGGCGCACGGGACCTGCATGACTTGCATGCGCACGTAGCTGCTTCTCACACTCTGTCACAGATGCACGCCGGCATTCTCGCAGGAGCAATAATGGGAACTGGTTGTCTCGTTGTGGGATTTAGGGGAGCTGTTGCGCATACATGCTGTGTTCTCCATGTGTTCCTCATGATTGCACGGGCACGTAGTTGTTCTCACACTTGGTCGAAGATGCATGCCGGCATTCTCGCAGGCGCACCAACTGGGACCGTCTGTTTCGTTGCGAGATTTGAGGGAGCTGTCGTGCAGTCGTGCTGTGCTCTTCATGTGTGTTCTTCATGCGTGCGTCAGCAGAGACGCTCAGAGTCCGAATCCGCCTGGCCCTTAAGCAGCTCGGAACGTCACGCCCCACAGTGCAAGCAACACGTTGCAGTTTGGAGTACAGGCACCGCCAGAGAGCCCGCCAAACCCACCGCCTTGCCCGGGGACATGCAGGGGAGAGACGAAAGGTCGTCGTATGAGCGGCTCGCAAACCGTTTCGTAGGACCGTGGGTGGAATCTCGTACCGAAGCCAAACGCATCGCCAAGGCCACTCTCGCATACCGTATGGAGGATATCATTCGTTCTCAATCCATTCGTCGCCGCATCAATGAGGAAAACCTTCGGGCTGTGGGGTGGTCGCATGAGGCTCGCGCGACGGTCGAGGGTCGCGTAGGGGTAGGGGGAGAGAGGCGAGGGGTGGTCAAGGAGGATGGCCCGACGGAGGGGCCGGCCTGCTGAGCACGCCTCGTTAGCTACACACACACACACACGAGCGCACCCCCCACACGCGCGAGCGTGCACTCAGGTCCGCTTCAGTGTGCTAGATCTGTAGGCGTCCCCTACCTGTCCCCCCCCCTTACTTGTAACAACCCCGCTAACAGTCTACGGCACCTCGGTGCATCCTGAGCCATGGCCTCTCGACACGATGTGACGCTGGCCTGAGCTGGGAACCTTGGAGCTCGCGAGTTTGGCATGTGGGTTGGACTGCAATGGAGGCTGGCATCCCCAATACAGCAGCACGATGTTTGGGCTGCCAGGGGACACAGCGAGATGTTCAAGTTTTGCTGCCGTGTGGCAGCCTTGTGCCTCCGTGCGGCCGGACCGCTTTGGCCGCCCGGCGACACGGAGTGACTGCATGACGAATACCACTGCACTGCATGGAGTTGGGTCGCCGCGGAGGGTGGCAGATGGGGACCCTGCGTCTGCATGGTGCCTGCAACTGCCAGATGCATGACCGCTGGTACGAAGCAGAGAAGGAATTCATGAATTCAGAATTTGTGAATTCAGCAGTGAAGGCCCTGGAAACTGATGGATGCAAAACTGCATGTTGAGTGAAGCTTGGGTTCTGCACGACCTCGGAGCTGACAGGCCCACGCACGTGCACTCTGCATGGACCGTGTGCATGGCCACCACCTGCCAAGTTGCGCCTCCTGACGCCCGGGGATGACAGAGACAGATGTACGTTGTCGAGTGCGTATAGCCACAGACGGCAGTCACTGCTCGGGACATCGAATGCGACCAAGGTCCTTAACCAGGCCCGGGCCCTTTGCCCGTAGGAGGGCCGTAGGGCCCGTAAGGCCCGTAGAGCCCGCAAGGGCCGTACAGGCCGTCAGCCCGTAGGAGCCCGTAGGATCCCGCAGGAGCCCGCAGCCCGTAGGAAGGAATCTGCCGCAAGCCGTGCTGTGTCCCGCCCAGGCTCAAAGCCCGTACTTGATCCTAAATATGCTTTAGCTTGTCATGGTACCAATACAGAGATGAGATGCTCAACAAGCATTTCGCTTCGAAGATCTCGCATCATCTCATGTAGGTTAGTGAAGCCATGGAAGAGATCAGATATGACGGTGCCTGCAGCGTATGTGGGAGAAAGTTGAGCAAGAAAGAAACTGTCATCGCATCGGTGCTGGATGTGTGCGGCTGGCTCCAAGTGAAACATGACATCATGAGATGCCGGAATTTTGAATGTTCTTTGAACTGTGCCGCCGTGGCATACAACTTCGTATGCAGTGGCTCTGAGTACGTCTTTTCATGGGGGCAGGAGGAGTGCATGCAATATTTTTTTTTGACTTATGCCTTCGGGGTTTCTATACGCTGGCTGCGACAATTCAGTCGTCGTTTGATCTTCCAGTGGTCTTCCTTTGCGGGGGAAGCCAAAGTTCACTTTCTCGAAGCTGTTGGCTTGGGCAAGAGTGACATTGTGCCAGACAAGGCCAAGTTGAAGTTGCTTCGGGCGTGGATGCTGTGGCGTTTGGTTACTTGGCAGGTTTGGTATATTATATGTGATATGTTGTATATTAGAAAATACTTGAGAAGCATTATATCAGATATATATATATATATATATAGAATCATAACAATATAATTATAATCATAATGAGAACAGTCATAATCATAACAATAATAACAATAACAATAACAATAATAATAATAATAATAAACAGAATAATAATAATCATAATAATAATAATAAGCATCAGTTATAAAATATGTATTGAGTAAGACATATAATATAGTGTGTATATATAATGCAATTATATGCATATACATATATATATATATATATACACATACATATATATATATATAAATATGTAAATAAATACATAAGTAAATAAATATATATATATATATATATTATTTGTAGTTACATATCTTTATATTTGCTCGCAGCCCTTCCCGGTTATGCTGGTTGCGCCGCGTGTGTCTGATCCCCACATGTTCGACCCAGTAGCACTTGCGGTGTCTTGCCCGGGCGCATCCCGTATGGGTTTTGGAGCTGCGTGCTGGGTGCCTCCATAAGGTTCAGTGTTGGTTCGCAGAACTGGAAGCCTTTAGCCTTCAGAAGAAGTAAGGTCATTCGATGGAGGCAACATGCGGCCAGAAAGGAGGGTGAAGTGCAAGTGCGTGTGAACCTACGGAAGCCACTGCCGACGCTGCTTGCAGAGGCGTGGGAGTGGTATCCTGCGCACATGTTGAAGAGAAGAGTGGACCTAGCTCGGTCGAAACAGCTGGACTTGAGCGCCGTCGTTATGGACGGCAACGCTAAGCTGTCAGGCAGGATATGCGGCCGTCCTGCGGCGGAAATCATCGACAACCGTTCGCTGGACATGTTCACCGTGACCTGTTGCAGCGCGGAGCCTCAGTTCAAGAAACGGCGTTGCATGAAACACGACACGAGCCATGCTCCAGCAGATCCGTTGCCCGAACAGTCTGAAGTCATTACTGCCCATCGTCGTGTTCGAAGAGCAGGACAAGGGGAACTGTATGATGTGTTTTTGAAAGTGAAGGATGCTCCATATTTGGCAGGCCGATGGGTCAATGCGTCCCTTGTGACAGCCACGCAACTACACGAGTACTGGCGAAAATTGGAAGCCTCTGGCTTCGTTCCGGAAAAGTCGGCAGCTGAAGATCTGGCTGCAAGCAGCTGCAAAACCCACAAAGAGGTCCGGCAGGGCACGAGAGCGCAAGTGCAACTGGGCAGCACATGTGTAATTCCTTTGATTGTTTAAGAGTGTCCAGGTTCAAGACTGAAAGACATAGGGCTGCTGCGTTTTTCTGTTGGTCGAGGAGAGCTGGGCGGTGTAACGGGTTTCTTTTCGCAACGACGCCATGCGGGCACATTCTGCACATGAAGCCGTATGTGGGTGCAGAATCGTTGTCGCAAAGGTTTTTTTTTCTAGGAGAATTGGTGGAGGCTGTTGGTGAGATCAATGTGCTGATCCACGATGACAGTTGTCATCTCCGGCGTTTCTCGGAGAGGAATGGTGACCGGACAGAATTGACAAATCGTCTAAGACACCCGCGGATTCGGTATATACTTGACCGGATGCACGCCACGGGTCATAGCGACCCGTGGTGTATCCGAGAGTGCCATCCGGACGCACCGCAGAACGCTCAGCTTGTGCAAGATCTGAATACGTCTGCAGCAGAGGTCCTCAACAGTCTCATGTCCAGGCATCGACACGCCGTGCGCTGCATCCGTTCGCGCTACGTGCGGGATTTCTTCTTGCAGGAGGTAGCAGATTCCCGCAACACTGTTGCTGGACCAGAGCCGGCAGGACGGGCACGTGTGGGGGAGCGGCCTGCAGAGGCGGCGCCGCTCACGCCGCCTGGAAGGGCACGAAGACGGAGAAGGGCGTTCGGGCCTGCAGGCCACATAGAACACACACGCACACACGCACACACACATAGATTATAAGAGTACACCGTACACCGTCACTTCTGCATTTCGTCGGTGTTGACTGTCGTTCAACCGATACCTTTGCAGGCGCGGATGCTGTCCCCGCGCCAAAACGGCGGATTCGCGTGGCGGCTTCCAGGAGTGCTGGAGAAGGCGGGTCTCCGCGTTTCGAGGGTAGCAAGACGGCTGAAATGAAACCTATAGCAGGGTTAAGCAGTTCGGGCATGTGTCTTCGATTTGGGGTTTAGGGTTTAGTAGTAGGGTTGCGTGAGGTATGGGGTGCTCTGAAGGGTGGCGTGCGCAGTCCCGGCCGACCTCCCTTATGGATGGCCTATTCACCTAGTTGCCTAAGGCCTAAACCCGGAAAGCAACAGTCCTTTGCTGTGGACTCTTTTATTTGGAACCACAAAGTTCCAAAGTTCGGTTTTGCTGCAGCTGCCATTTTGGCTGCGACATGGAGTGCGCTTGAGGGCTAAAAGCAAGGCCTTCGCCGGTGACTTGGCCACAGCATGGCAACGGCTGCCATGCACCAGGCCTGGGACTACATAGACAGTCACTTCGACGAGAGGGGGTTGTTTGGCGAAGCAGGCGGAGACATGGTCGCGCGACTGAGCGCTCAAGTTTGCGCGCACCCGTTTCCGTATGGGATGGCTCTCCAGACTGCTCTCCTTGGATGCGTCAACGGAGCTCTTGTTCGTTGTTTTCCAGGAGACCCTTCGCCTTTGTCACTCGTGTGCCTCGTGGTAAACCCACCTCAGACAAGGAAAAGTGGGATAACAAATTGCATCAACAAAGTGGGCAAGGCGGTTGACAGAGTGATTGCTCGCTGGGCTGAAGGCAAGGAGCCTCGGCCTAAGAGTGCCGTCTTGACTACTTTCACGGAAGCGGGCTTCTTCCAGAGATGCTGTGCAGAAGGCGATCGTTTGTACTACAGTGTTTTGTTGTCCTTGGACGAAAGCTACCGATTCCTGAAGATGTTGGGACTGGGTACAGGCAAAGGACATGGCAAGGAGCACGCAGCTGCACCCTCGGATGGTGCCTCGCAGTGGAACGCATTGCTGCAGACAGGTCACAGCAGCATGACCTGCAAGACGGGCGTGAGCTACGAGTCCCGCAGCGCCACGTGCAACGTGGTTGGCGTCGGCAACATTCATTCTGGCCCTTTCCTTGGCTTGGTGAAGCTAGGATGACCGGTGAGTGGCAGTTTTTCCTCTTTTGTGTGCGGAAGTTTTTTCTGTTTTGTGTGCAGAGGGATTAGTTTCATGGTTTGATGGCAGTGTAGGGCTTGAGTAAAGGGCTGGCGTTGTACCAGTGCACGCCAAGTTAGGAAAGGAGAGACTGGCAACCATGAAGTAGCAGCGATGGAAAGAATCCTTTTCCTTTTCGGAAGACCAATTTCTCCCCATGCTCCGCTTGCAGAGTCGATAGAGCTGCCAGCTGACTTCCAGAGAGTGTCGTGGGTGCCACTCTTACCGAACATGCTGGAGGCTTTGGGCCTCACACGTGAGGCGCTAGCGCTTGAGACAGCTACACGGTTATTCGAGCCAACTGAGCCTGTGGATGACTGTCCATGCTTCCGTATTGTTCTGGCGGATGGCTGCTCGACGGAGCTGCGTTTCCGCACGGTGGCATCTTGTTGAAAGTCAACGAACATTTTATATTTCATGTGAAATATTCCATATTCTACATGTTTCACGCCTCGTATCTTATAATATCTTATCTTATGTTTTGTGTCTCATATCTTATATCTTATGCCTGATCTTTATTCGTTTTCGAGCTTGTTTTGCAAGTTCAGAACATTCAAGGCGAGTGGCTCGGGAGAATCTGCTCGCTGTCACCGACGGCCCGAGTTTGCAGTTGCCAACCGGAACATTCCTGTTCCAGACATCGAGTCCATGGCGCACAGGGTGCTGCATTATTTTGCTGATCCGCATGCGGTGGTGGAGTTCACTGAGGAGGCCCAGGAACTCTTTGTGGCCTACGCGGCGTGTTTTTCAGCTGAGCAGAGTGTTTCCCAATCCTGTTAGCAGAATTTTTTTGCAATGTTGGTGTGGCGGGGTAAGCGCAGCTCTGCTTGAACACTTACTCGTCACTCCATAACACCTGCAGCTGAAACAGAGGTGCTTCGTGACAACGACGACGATTCGGCGGCGAGGAAGGGAACGGCCGCATGGCACCTCGGTGTGCTGGCAGCTGCCCAGTTAGTCTGGGACATCGCGACGGAGCAGGCTGCATGACAGGGATGAAAGTGAGTGTAACGTTAGATTGTTGGAGTACCTGTCGGCTGTTGGGGAGAGTTGGTGCAGGGGCCGGGTCTGCTGGGTTGGGTGCGAGGCAGACTCCAGACTGGTGGCAGAATCGAGGCTTCGCATCCAACCACATCACGTGCTTCGCGCGTATGACGCCCTCAGGTTGACTCATGACGTATTGGGCTTGTGCGTGAATGGCAGTGTGGTGGCGCCCGGTAGCGCAGAGCAGGCACTGTCACAAGCGGCAAGTGCTGCGCAGCAGCTGGAGTCAGCGCTGGAGCAGCAGCGGATCCCAGAAAGTCAGTTCGTGAAGTTCGAAGTTGCGCAGGAGTCGGCTGCAGAGGATGGCGAGCCAGGCCATGTCTTCAGCCAAAGCGACTCGCCGCCGCTAAGTGATGGCTACGGGCCTGGCGGCAGTTCGGTACAGGATCCAACGCAAGGGCCAAGTATTCTTTCAGATAGAGTGGCTTGATGACAACTTTTGTTTGCAACTCTCAGGGTTCACGTATAGCCCTAATCGTAGCAGTGTAAGGACTAAGTGTGGTCATAGGATATGCTTTGACGTCCGTTGACAGTGCAAGGCAGTAATGTTGCGTACGCTTCTTCGGGGAGAACCGGTTATTTTTGCTCGTCGCGTCGTGGATGCTTGCTCGAAGAAGACGACTGTTGACAACAAAACAGTTAGGACGTCGTTAAAGCTGGCGCACTGGCTCGCGGTCATCAACGCAGGCATGGAACAGCACTGCATCGGTGAGGTGCAGACGCTGGCTGACCGCAAGGGCCCACGGCTGGTGCTACACCTTCCCAAGTCCAATGATCGAGAAGCTGTGCGTGTGTATCACAACCGGCTGATGGCTTTGTGTGGCTTGAGTTTTGCAGCTTTTTCGAAGCGTTTGGTAGAAGTCGCATCCAAAGGAGGCGGCTCAGGCGCCCGGGTCGTGGCGGCCACTGCAGATGAGCAGGTGTCGGAAGAGGGTGTGTTGGCCGTGCGACCAAGAGCTGCCAACTCAACAGCGGCGCCAAAGGCGAGCGTTGTCGTGCGACCAAGAGCTGCTAAGTCAAGAGCGGCGCCGAAGGCGAGCATTGTTGCGAAGCAAGAGATAGTCTCACACGATGTTGGTTTGGCGACAACTTCTAAGGCCAGGGCTGCGCCTACAGCGCGCAGGGCTGCCAAGACGGCAGTAAAGAAAGAAGCCGTGGAGGAGGATGATGATGATTGCATCATAATCGAAGCATCTGTGCCAGCGTCGTCCGCTAGGGAGAAGACGCAGGACGCAGGGGACAGTCAGGGAAGCAAGCGCCGGAAGCTGAATGAACAGCTCGGCAATTGGCATTGCTAGGAGAGTCGAGCAAGATGGGGGGGGGTTGAAAAGAGGATGGGCTGGGAAGTGGGGACGGAGAGAGAGACAGAGAGAGAGGTACCAACAATGAGGCTCACACAGATAATCACGTGTGTGCGTGGGTGTGTTGGAGAGGCATGGCCCGCTGAGACGTGCCACCTCCTCTGGCGCACGGCGCAGGCCAGTGCAGGTTCGTGGAGCAGGTTTTAGGGGTTTAGGGTTTAGGGGATAGGGTTAGTGTTTTCGAAAACGCATTTTTGTGAAAAATTGACGCAGGCTTGAAGCTTGGGATGATCTGAGACCCCTAAGCCCTCAAATCCGCGGCTCGGACCTTCGAAAACGTGTCATTATGGCTAAGCTGGGCCCCTCTGCTCGTTAGACGAGCAAAGCGCCTTAAACATCGAGACACGCTGCAAGCTTAAGCTTGAGATGATCTGAGACCCGCATGGCCCCCTGTCCTTGTTGGACTAGCGAAGCGCTAAAGAAGAACTGACGCTCCAAGGCTGACTTGCAAGGCGCAAGCGGTGCGCCAAAGTCTTCAAGCACGCTGCCGAGACCCTATGGCCTGGATCTGGCGAGCAGTTCTTCAGCGCGTAGCCAAACACTATATGAAGCTCGTGACAGAGGGTTGCTTCGGTTACTCAGGAGTTTAGAAAGCCCCCAACGCACTCCTTTAGGAGAGTAATAGGTGGGCAGTTTCTCTCGCAGGAAGCTGAAAATCTGAAACTCTACACCCTCAACTTGCTGAGTGAATCCTATATGAGGAGTAGGCTTCCCTAAAGCCTAAACCCCCATAAGATCTAAACGCGAAATCCTAAACCCTAAATCAGGCCTTAGGCTCGACTCTTAAAGCTCGGGGCGAGATTTCGGAGCTTTCCCACAAGAGTGCACGCCGTCCAGAAGATCTCAAAAGCTTCACGTCAGGAGCTTAAGGTTTAGAGGTGCAAGTTTCGGTTTGGGGCTTGAGGGCTTTCCGGCTTATGAGAGTTGAGGAAGTATGGCCCTAGTCTGGGTCATAACCCTTAACGACTTCGAGCTTGTGCTCCCCAAACCCTAAACCCTAAACCCCAAATCTTGAACCCTAAGCCTTAAACCCTAGACCCTAAACTGTAAACCCTAAACCCTAAACTCTAAACCCTAAACCCTAAACCCTAGCTTGTGCTCGTTGTAGAGAAAGAGGGAACACTGTATAGAGCACTGTGAGTCTGACGTCTTGAACTCGAAACTCTAGAGCTGAAACTTCAATTCCCTCATTCTCTTCGAAGTACGAAAAGAGAAGGCGAAGTTGCAAAATGTGTCACTCAGAGCTGTGGACTATTGCAATTGTGAAGATAAAGAGAGAGGATATGCGCGTCGTGATATAAGGTTAGATAAGGCGAGTTGTGTACAAGGCTTCACGCTTGCAAGGTTTGACTGAAATCAGGGCCCGCAAGGCCCGTACGGCCCGTAAGGCCCGTAGAGCCCGCGTAGAGCCCGTAGAGCCCGTAGAGCCCGTAGAGCCCGTAGAGCCCGCGTAGAGCCCGTAGAGCCCGCGTAGAGCCCGTAGAGCCCGCGTAGAGCCCGTAGAGCCCGCGTAGAGCCCGCGTAGAGCCCGTAGAGCCCGCAGAGCCCGTAGAGCCCGTAGAGCCCGTGCAGCCCGTAAGCAAGGCCCGCAGAGCCCGCAAGGCCCGCAAGCCCCTCAGGGCCTAAGGGCCGTAAAGCCCGTAGGGTCCCGCGCGGGCCCTGTCCTGCTTTAAGACCTTTCTCTCGAATGCTGAGGATAGAGAGAAGTCTCACCCACATAGCCCTTGCCACATGTTGCTTTCAGGGAGGAAAGGCCGCTCGGGTTGTACTGTTCTGGAGATAGTATTCATACCTGATCTTTGGACGGTTTGCGGCAACCTCCACGTATTGTCGCTAGGTCGCAATGTGCCTAGGAATAGTCAGTCGGGTCTGATGGGGGAGGCTTGTTTCAAGGTGGAAAGGTGATCGAGGTATACTGTTAGCTATCATGGTTTGAGCCCCTCTGTTGGACACGCCGACTGGGTCAAAGAACTTCTGTCGGCCAATGGACATGTACCAATTTGTTTTCTATTTGTCTGGGATCGATCAGGGGTCAGCTCTTCAGTATTGTGGCTTGGCATTGAATTTTCGTCGGTGGTAATGCTGACCCTGGTTGGTTCGTTACTGGTGGTCAATGCACCCACTCTGGAGATCTCGACAGGACTTGCCTCGCCCGCTTATGCCAGTGTGAGAGTCGAAACCCTAAACCCTAAACCCTAAACCCTAAACCACCCTAAACTCATGAAGCCTTGGACTTTTCGAAGCCTACGCTCCTTCAACCCGGCGCACCTCGTCCCGGATGGCTGCGCAGGGTTCGGGTTTAGGGTTAAGGATTTAGGATTTGGGGTTTAGGTTTAGGGTTTAGGGTTTCAGGGTTTAGGGTTTGGGGTTTAGGGTTTTAGGTTTTGGGGTTTAGGGGGTTTAGGGGGTAGGGTTAAGTTGGAGCCTTGTGGCTTCGTGGCAAAACTTCAGTTTGATAGCTTAGTTTCCACCCTCCCACCCAGCCTTCGCACCCCGTGAAGGAAAAAGACTTCATCCTAAACTCAAGAGCCACAAACGCTAAACCCCAAACACTAAACTCGAAACCCTAAACCCTAAACCCTGAACCCTAAACCCTAAACCCTAAACCCTAAACCCTAAACCTTAAGCAGACGGATCTCATCGAACTTCGGGGGAGGGGAGAGTCTCCGATGTGCATGGCAGCCTGTGCCTCAGGCCCATGCGCTTCTTGGGCGACATCTCCATGTGCGCCTACATGCTCTATGGCCAAACCCACTTTGAGGTTTAGGGTTTAGGGTTTAGGGTTTAGGGTTTAGGGTTTAGGGTTTAGGGTTTAGGGTTTAGGGTTTAGGGTTTAGGGTTTACGCTTTACGGTTTCGGATTTAGGGTTTAGGGTTTAGAGTTTAGGGTTACTGTCAAGCTCCCCCAATAGAAAACCATTCTCAGCAGCCGGGTTGAGGGGCCGTGACATGCAAAAGGACCCTCGGCCTTCAACTCAACCCCTAAGCATCTTAAAACCCCCAAACCTCCAATCCCTAAACTGCAAACCCTATAACACTCTACATTACCTAGAACCCCCCCCCCAAAAAAAAAAAAAAACCTAGAACTAGAAGCGCTATAAACTCTATGGAGCCTACAGGCCACCCTTAGCTCTGAACCCTAAACCCCCAAGCCCTAAAAACCCCAAAAGGCTCTACAAACCCCTATAAACCCGAATAAACCCCAAAACAAACACTCCCTAAACCCCAAACCCTAAACCCTGTAAGCCCTACGAAGCCCCTATACACCCTAAACCCCTATAACACCGATTGACCCCTATAAACCCTCTAAGCCCCTGATTCCTAAACCCTAAACCCTAAACCCCTAAACCCTAAACGCTAAACCCTAAACCCTAAACCCTAAACCCTAAACCTCCGAACTGAAGGATCCACCTGCTGCTTGCGGAAGCTTTGGGCTATGCGGTTGGAAGGGAACTCGGATCCATGCCGTGGTGGCACAGCAAAGATTGGTTGAGGTTTAGGGGTTTAGGGTTTAGGGTTCAGGGTTCAGGGTTCAGGGTTCAGGGTTCAGGGTTCAGGGTTCAGGGTTCACAAAAGGGCTTGAGGTTGGTTTTTGGGCTAAGGGGTTAGGGTGCAGGTGTACTTTCTGTTTGAGGGCTACTGTTTGAATATAACCTGAATTGGACCCTAAACCCGGAATTTCCCGCTAACCCCAAACATCCCCAAACCCTAAACCCTAGACTTTGTTTTTCCCTTGAAGGAATTGGGGGAGGGGGGGGGGGGGGGCCAACCCTAACAATCCCTAAACGGGGGGTGGGGGGAGGGGGGGACCGTAGTCATAGTCCAAGAAAGGTGGACTTTGCTGGCGGTCCTCCCGGTGACAATCTTGCTGGGCTGGCTCCTCACCGAGTTCTTTGAGAAGCCAATCGAAAGGCCCGACATGCATGAGGTTCAGGGTTTAGGGATTAGGGTTTAGGGTTTAGGGCATGAGGTTTAGGGTTTAGGGCTTAGGAGGATTTACGGCTTCGGGTTTGGGGTTTAAGGCAGGGGGGGGTGGAGTTTTGGTGGGGTTTTGGGTAAGTTCAGGGAGGCGGGGGCTCAACGCCTGAATCTTTCAACGCTCAGCAGGAGCAGTTTTGTTTGTAGGACAAGGACAGCTTAGGGTTAGCGGGAGGTGTCTAAACCCTAAACCCATGTTGGACTTATTATAGTCCCCCCGACCCTGGACCAGCAAGATCGCCAAGAGCTTTCAGCGCACTCAGTTTTACAAGCTTGAGCGCAGACATGCCAGCATTGCCTCAGCTGGTACAGGGGTAACCCGAAACCCTAAGCTCTAAACCCTAAGCCCTAGACGCCATTAGAGCTTAGAGATGGTTTCAGGCAAGCGCTATCAACCCCTACACTTTGGGCTCCAAAAGCGTCACTTCTCACTACGTACTACTATAGGGTATGGGGCCGAGGGTTTCGGAGCCACACAAAGAAGCCAGAAGTGCAACAGCCCACATGGTCCCTGAACCCAAACCCTAAACCCTAAACCCTAAAGCCTAAAACTCCCGAAATGTGTGAGAAGGTGCTGCCGGCCGGACAAGCGCGCCGCCAAGAAGTCGAATGCCGTAAACGTCGACGGGCTGCAGATGTAGAGTTGCAGGTTTTATTTTGGGGTGTACGGTTTATGGTTTAGGCCCAAAAAGTGTCCCCCCGTTTTAGGGGCATAGAGAAGGAAGCCAGGATAAAGAGCGTCTGGAATTTTAGGGGTTTTGTTGGCGCGCCACGCATGCACGTGCGAAAGGGCTTGAGGATCAATGGCTCAGTCTTCGAGCCCCAGCAAAGCCACAATACAGCGCTTGAACAGCAGTATCAATACACCTGCTTTATGGGGGGGGCGGGGGGTTCCGAAATTAGGGGTACCTTCTTGGGTCCTTATTATAAGGGAATCCTACTATTTGGGATCCCTTTTTTTCGTGAACCCCTATATCTCTGTAGAGTGAGCCGCCCCAACTACCCATCGCATTTAAAAGGCTCCTACATTACCTGACTTCGTAAAGCATGCCAGGTGCCTTGCAACTGGGCCTTGGGATATCATCTATATTCCTTGGTGGCCCAGTGGCACCCTTTTTCCCCTTTTTTGGTTCAACGTTCCCTTATAAAGTAACCTACCCCAAAAAGGGTGCACCTATCATACTATGGTTGCTGGGCTACCAAGATTTCCTTTACTAATAATGGCTCAGAGGGTGGTGGGCTAGCCAACCTAGACTCAAGAGCTTGTTCAACCAAACCTACATGCACAAAGGATGCAAAAAGAATTCCCCAAAAGGTACGCCTGCGGTGTCCTAGAACAAGCACGTGGCACACAAATCCCTCCAAAAAAAAGACTGCTGAAGCCTAAACCCTAGACCCGTAACCCCTAAACCCTGAACCTTTTAACGGAAGCTCCTCCGTTCCTACTTGGAGGTTCGTGGGTTCTTGTCCCTGGGGTTGGGGGCGGGGGGGGGGGGCTTCAAAGTCGCAAAGAGACATGGGTGAGGTCCTAGCCATGTGCGGAGCTACAGTAGGCTCTATAAAGTTGGAACATCCTTATCCCCGTACCCCAAAAGGTATACTAAAGGGAATCCCAGCTCTAGTCATCCTTAAACCATACCCTAAACCCTGAACCCTAAACCCGGAACCCTAAACCCTTCATCCTTAATCCAGGGTCCAACTTTCTGGAGTTTATACGGGCCCATGGTTTCGAGTGTTAACTACAGTTCTACCTGGTTGTAACCTTTTCTGAGGAGGGCAGGGCGAGGGGGGCGGGGGGTGGGGCCTCCAAGCATACTTAGAACTGCGCCTACTTGCATAAGCCTTCAGGCCTCTAAGTAGGTTTTAAGTAGAGTAACCCTAAACCCTAAACCCTAAACCCTAAACCCCTCAACCCCCGTCAGAGCCCACCCTGCAACTGAGGAGGCTCCGACCAGCGCACAAGTGATCGGATCCCCTGAGGCTAAGGTGGGCTGAGGCCGCCCTAAACCCTAAACCCTAAACCCTAAACCCTAAACCCTAAATCTCGAACCGGCTTGATCTTTACACTGTAGGATTTAGGGTGCAGGGGGTGGGGCTGTGCAGCCGGACCCTAAACCCTAAACCCTAAACCCTAAACTAAACCCTAAACCCTAAACCCTATGAGATATAAGCGGTAGTCTTGGGTGCTGGAAAGTCAGGGCATACAGCGCTGGCGGGACGGGGTAGGTAACCTTGAACCTTTTTGGTTATATAGAACCCTACTAGATATAAACAGCTCACATTTTTTGGGCTAGGGTATTCAGCCCCTAAACCGACTCTGTCTAAGCCAAGAAAAAGGGCAAGGCGGGCGGCTCCCTACTCGAACAGGCCTCTCCCCTTAGCGCACGCGTCGTCCTCAATGGGCTTCGGGTATGATACCCGAGCCAGGCGTTGCACATGGGCAGAGGCGTGGCCGAAACAAGCCACCCCGCACAATTTGCCGTCTCCGTTCGAGGAACCCGGAACCATGGACCACGGTCTTCAGAGACGTGATGCCCAGCACTGGAAATTTCAAGTCTTCCCTATATCCCCAAGGCTCCAAATAGCCCAAAGTCTGTATTCTTTCCAGACTTTAGACCCCGATGTAGGCCTTATTTGTATACTTGGAGCCCTAAAATATCTATTAGTATTGTTAGTAGTAGTATTATTATTACTATCATGAATACTATTATTATTACATTATTACTACATTATTATGATTATTATTCTGATTATTATTGCTACTGCAGCCATACCAGCGCCACGAAGCCTTCGAAGCCCATTGCCTTGATCCCTTAGGCCCGACAGCCCAGCATGGATCCCGTGAAGGTCGTAGTGAACGGATTGTTTGCCTCATAAACATTTGGGGGTTTTCGATATATTAGGGGTACCCCTTAAAATGCGGGAACGGTATGTTTGCCTCAAACATATGGGGGTTTTCGATATATTAGGGGTACCCCTGATCATAAGGGGATCCTACTATTTGGGGTCTATAAGAATATTAGGGGTACCCCTTAAAATAAGGGGATCCTGTTATTTGGGGTCTATAACAAGGGTCCCGCCCCCCCGGCTTGTTTTCGTAAACCCCCATTTCTTCCTCGGACTGACTGCAAGTCTTCCATGATCACTGTAGGCAGGTTTTGCAGAAGACTGCACAGCAACGGCTGCCGCACAGGAATGGGAGCAACATGTCGGCCAGGATGGCTACGACTCAGTCTTTGGGGATGTATCCCTATCACCTACGTCCTAACCCAGCACTTGAAATCCTTTCATCTACACTAGAAGCGAGCCCTGAAAAGGGCCCTTAATCCGACTAATTCTACAAGCACTACGTATGCATTCTTGGTCCTGTTTAAACTGAGACCGAAGTAGTTCATTCTCCCCTAAGCCCTACAACCCGAAACCGTCATCATTCATTTACGGACTTGTAGTCAAGGGGATAGATCCTTGGGTCCCAGGGGCGGACCCAAGTCCTAAACCCAACACATCGGCAGGCACTCTTGCACTGATAGGGTTTAGGGTTAGGGTTTAGGGTTTAGGGTTTAGGGTTTAGGGTTTAGGGTTTAGGGTTTAGGGTTTAGGGTTTAGGGTTTAGGGTTTAGGGTTTAGGGTTTAGGGTTTAGGGTTTAGGGTTTAGGGTTTAGGGTTTAGGGCCCTAAGCATTCAGAGTTCCGCCGTGAGAGATGGGTCAGGATTTGGGAGACATCCGAGCAGCGTTAAATGCCCGGCACGGCATGCGTGTACAGCGCCTTTCGAGGTCGGGATGTTCTTTGGCCTCCGGAGGAGGTGTTCTTAGAGAAGTTACCCTAAACCCTAAACCCCAAACCCTAAACCCTAAACGGCACGTAGAGGTCGGTGGGAGCTCCACGAAAGTGGAAGCTTTAAGCTACTGACCCCTGGCCAGCTTCTCATTGCCTTTGGAGATGAAAGTCCGACGTGGGGACGAGGGAAGCCATGGACCTCTAAACCCGAAGATTCCAACTCCCAGGAGCCACCGAAAATCTGAAATTGGCGTTGAGGGTTTGGAGTTTAGGGTTTAGGGTTTAGGGTTTAGGGTTTAGGGTTTAGGGTTTAGGGTTTAGGGTTTAGGGTTTAGGGTACCCGAAGCCCTCCAGAAACTGAATGGCAGAGAGCCCCTCACCCTCGGTTGAGGTATCGCGAAGCGCGGACTGTTGGACTGTATTGTCAGTGGTGGCCTAGAAAGCTGAGCACTAGTATGGGAATGAGAAGGAACTTGACAGCTGAGCCTGCCTGGGTAGGAGAGGTCAGCCGTTTGGGTCTCAGGGAGGTGGTTGAGAGAGGCTAAGTGCTTCCGACGCTGTCAGGGAAGGAGGCCCCAGCCTCTAAACCCTACACCCCCGAACCCGGAAAAGGGCAGTTGGGCGCATTCTTCTTGATTTTCTTGCGGGATCGTTTTCGGAGGGAAATTTGCGGCTTCGTAAGGAACAAGCCTTCTGGGAAGGGAGAAGCGCCGGACCCGGACCCTGCACTTTCGGCTCTAGGGATAGCCTTGGAAGGGGCACGAGAGAGGGGAGGAGGGGAGGGAAAGGACCCAAGGCTTTGAGGATTGGAGAGAGTCTGCCCTAAACCCTAAACCCTAGACCCTGCTAACAGGGCGCCTAAAGGTCGAAGCCCGAGCTTGTTGAGAGGTGGCTGTTGAGGGTTGCCAGGGGGCTGCTTGGGTTTAGGGTTCAGGGTTTAGGGTCTAGGGTCTAGGGTCTAGTTTCAAGTCAAGGGCCATGGTTTGATATAGCACCGGCACTTAACTGCACCTTCATCCCAATCAAGAGAAGTGCGGGTTGAGGCGCCCCCCCCCCCGTCCCCTTGTTCACCCTGTGGCCATGCTGCCGGACAGCCCCAAGGCAGAGGCACGGCGGAGTTCCCCTGCGATTTTTTGAGGGTCATGGGGTCGTCAGGGTTCAGGGTTTGGGTTGAGGGTTTTAGGGTTCAGGGTTCAGGGTTCAGGGTTCAGGGTTCAGGGTTCAGGGTTCAGGGTTCAGGGTTCAGGGTGTAGGGTTTAGGGTTTAGGGTTTAGGGTTTAGGGTTTAGTCTTCGCAGACTGGCCCCTCTAATGGTGGAGGGTTTAGGGTTTCGGGGCTATCAAGTCCGAGAAGCCCTCCTCAACAAACCCCCAAACCGCCGAAGCTCCTAAAGTAAAACCCTCAACGCGCCAGACATTCTAAACCCCAAAATCAGGCGCCTGAAGACCTCAAACCCTTTCAACCCTAAACCTTTGACCCCAAAAGCTACATCCGGCACTATCCTGAATCCTCAACGTCAAAACCGAAATCCTAACCCTTAAACCAGCCCCAAACCCGAAACCCCAAGCCCGAAACCCTCAACCCCAAACCCTAAACCCAAAAGCCAAAAGCCTAAACCCGAAACCCTTGTGCGAGAGTGAGCGACTAAACCCGAAACCCTAAACGCCAGGCCCAGTTAGCCCAGCGCCTTCAGCGCCCCTGCGGGCGATCGCAGCTTCCGGAGCTCAGGGCTTCGTCTTAGGGCTCTAGGCTTTAGGGTATAGGGTTTAGGAATTAGGGTTTAGGATGGTTTGGTGAAGGGCTTAGAGTTTAGGGCTTCTTCTGGCGTAGGGGGCTTGGGAGGTTAGGGTTTTTTTTGGTTTATGGCTTTGGGTTTAGGATTTCGGTTTTGAGTCTAGGGCCGTAGGGCGCTTAGGAGGTTTGGGTTTTGGGGGTTTGGGGTTTGGGACAACTGCAATGTTGCTCCGTTGAAGTTGGCCGCACTCTGGCTGACAACAACCGACAATGTGGCTGCTTGAAAGTACACTCCGCGCCTGGAACAACTGCAAGGAACGGCTTCTTCGATCCTGAGCCTCCTAGCCGTGAACTTCGGGTGTTTCGGGCAATCCGACAACATGGTCGGATCCCCGTCATCGCTGCGTAGTACGGGGCGAGGCCCTCGCCGCCGTCTGAAGCAGGGCCAGTTGCGCGCATTCAGACTTCTTACTCCAGGGTCTGGGGGGGTGTGATTGTTCTGAACTTGCACAAGTAGCTTGTACATATGGTACCCTAAATCCTGAACCCTACACCCTAAACCCTAAACCCTAAACCCTAAACCCTAAACCCTAATAGTATGTATACTACTTCAGCCGTATGGCTCTTTGGCTGGGCTGGGGTGTACTTGTTGAGAGCCCATTCCCAAACTGTGCGCATTTGTTTCCCCCGGTTTGGGGCTTAGGGTTTGGGATTCCGGATTTGAGTGTAGAGGCTTAGGGCGCTCGAGGTTCGGATTTTTGTTTGGGGCTTAGGGGGTTGGGTTTAGGATTTCGATTGTGGGTTTTGGGAGTTTAGAGCTTTGAGGCTTAGAATTAGAGTCCTAAAGATTTTGAAACCTCTGGTTTCCTGACAAACAAAGACAAGGGGCTTAGGAGGTTAGGGGTTGAGGTTTAGGTTTTTGGTTTCGGTTTTGAGTGTAGGGGCTGAGGGGGCTTCGGAGATTAAAATAGGCCCCCAAATCCTCTTCGGCCGGAAAACTACGCATTGGCGACCTACTCTCCCCCCTAAACCCTTAAACCGCCAAGCCCTTAAAGCCTCAGAGCCCCGAAGCCTTAAAGCCATAAAGCCAAAAAATCTGAGAGCCCAAGCACGCACCCTCAGAGGCACCCCCAGAGCCACAAAGTCACCGAAGGCGCTGAGCCCTAAACCCTGAACACTGAACCTTGAACCCTAAACCCTAAACCCTAAACCTTAAACCATAAACCCTAGCCCTAAACCCTAGACCCTAAAGCCCCCTAAAAGCAATGCCTCAGGGATCCAAGCACTAAACCCCTAAACCCTAAACCCTAAACCCTAAACCCTAAACCCTAAACCCTTCAGCCTTAAGAGCCAGAAGCCTCCGAAGGAGCTGAGCCGATGCCTCTCCGAAATCTGCGTAGCACGGGGCCGAGGTGGCTCGAACACAAGCGGCCGCTGCAATGGGGTTCGGGAGGGATCTCGAAAAGTTGGGGTTTTGGGTTT